CAGTGTGCTGCCGGACCAAAGTTTCCCCAAACCTACCTGAGACAGACACTCTGGCTGGGACAGTGTGCTGCCGGACCAAAGTTTTCCCACGCTAAAGAGAAAGGTTTAAGCTTCCCATGTGTCAGCAATTTAGGGGTGTGTGTGCGTGCGTGCGTGCGAGCCTGGGTTGGGGGGCACAGTGGAGGAAAAAGAAGATAACAGTGTAAAACAATTTTCCAGTAATTGAAGGGAGAAAAAAAAATCACAAAGGTAACGAGATACTTTTCCTCTTGCTGAACAACAGTTTCAAAGAATAAAGGCAAAATACCTGCCAAAGCTGAGCTTCAGAATTATCACCTTGGAGTAGTGGATGGCAGTAAGCCTTCCTTCCAGTGATCTGACAGAGGCCGGGGAAGGTCCACCCTTTCAAGGCTCACACTGCCTAACTAAAAGCCTCTGTCACTGCTCCACAAATCCTGATCTGAAATACAACAGCCAAAAGACCAAAAGAAAGGGGAGAATTCACGATGAGCAACAGTTCAGGCAAACACTGACGAGAGGCTGGGAACCAGCGAGGCAGAGACAGCATTCTGGAGAAGTTTCCTTACCTTTGCCTTTTCACTAGGCTCTATGACAATGCCATTGGTAGAGTTATTTAGTTCTCTGGAGACAACACAGAGGAATTCTGCCTGATCCTCATTTCCATAGTTATAGGAAGATCCAATGCTGATTAGCTGAGAAAATGAGAATACAGTAAACATACAAGCAGTGATCTTAAAACACGAAAGTGCCACATAAACCAAACCCTCCTCTTGACTGAGCTGAACTTTGTCATTTTGTTTTACTTCTCAAAAGATGAAGAATTCTCTAGGAATGTTGAGGCCCCAGGGCATAACTGGATCTCAGCAGTTCACCAGGGCTTAATCAATGAGGCTTCCCCGAAGAAGCAGCGCGTGAGTTCTGCCACTCTCGCCCTCACCCGGGCACTTGAAGCAATCCCAAAGGCAGCTGTTTTCCCTGATGGGCAGTCTTAAGCAAAGGATATTCTAAAAATGTATACTTTGTGACACTGATTATCCTATTTTTCTCATCTTAATAACGTCTTGATCATTATAATTCAGTAATACCAAGCTGAATTCAGGATTTAATTCTGAGCTGGAAATACACACACAAAAGGAGAAGCCGAGCCCAAGGGTGAGGCCACTCTGGCAATATTACACTCCCCTCTATCAAGCACTGGGGTGAAACAGTATGCTTCTGTGAACGAAAATGGACACTTGCTTCAGCCAGAACACCTACACAGAGCTGGCTGATCTTAAGCAGAAGTCGTAGAAAGGAGACTGGCACTTGGAAGGATCTGGAAAGTACCAAGTGAATCACTGAACAGCTCCCGTAAGCCATATTCTGCTGGTACTTTTGATCCTTTTGGAGAATTGAATTCAGGATTTAATTCTGAATTGGAAATACACACGCAGAGGGAGAAGCTGAGCCCAAGGATGAGGCCATTCTGGCAAGCACAGCTGGCCTCGAATCAGCCCAGGACCGACTGACTTGCTGTGTGTGGCTGGCTGGGTACCACAGTCTGTGCCTTAACGTCCTCGTCCGTATAATGAAGTCAGTGGTAGCCGACTTTGTCCTCTCACAGGACATTATTAAGATGAGAAAAATAAGAAATCATTCATTAGTTTCACAGACTATAGTTTTTTAATAATATCCTTTGCTTAAGACTTTATATTAGGGAAAATACTTCTAGAGTAGAAACGATAAACCATTGGCAACATTTTGCAAGTACACGTGACGAACGAGGACTAGCTGACATACATAAGGCAGAATTCCGCAGTAGAAAGATAAACGTAAGGAATAACTCGATGCTGGCTCCAAAGACAGAGCTCAACAGCAGATTCGTATTTAACCTGTAACATACTGTTACCACGAACAGTAACTTTTATTTTAGAAGCCAAGTTTATGGTGACAATTCCAATGTCCTCTTAAATTCCACCTAAAACCAGGCACGGTCCATATAAAATTATATGTTCACTTTGTTCCTGCTCAGCCTCCCCGTGTTTTGAAGGCATCAGATGAATTGAACAATTTCGCCACCTCATGGAAGAAAGCAGTACAATTCCAATTCTCAGTTCCTTTCTCCGTTGCTCCTCTAACACCTCCATCATAAGCTACAAGGACAGAGACGGGGAGAATCATGGGCTCTAGCCATGCCACGCGTCTCCTTATGATTCCCTTTTCTTCACGCCTGCTCACCATGCTCTCCTGGTGGCACGACTGTACAGTCTGGCCCTGGGATAGGGAAGGAAGGGGTGCTGGAGCCTCGTCTCCTTTAGGTACTTATTCTAGAGTGTGTCAACAGAGCAAGTGCTGGAAAGGAATCCCTCTGAGGCTGGCACTTTCAAGCCTAACTAAGCTGCGGCTCCCCGTCGACACAGTCAAGGTGAAAACTCTGGATACGAAGCTGGGAGACACAGTCCTATTTCCAAGTCTCCCAGCTCATCAGTGCTCCTCATGTATCACTGTGCAAACAGTTCATGCCGAGTGGCTCTCCTTCCCCATGTGTTTAAACGGACAGTGCCCGGCCTTACTGCTTTCACAGGGTTATTAGCTAGTTACAGAGGCAGCTGTTGGAAGCACTGTGGACTCCTAGGCTGCAATATAGATATCGGGGTTGCTACTATTTAAGAAATATACCTGTTCAAATTTCCAACCATCAGACATAGTGGAGACCATCTGTGTAAGCTCTTCCTCTTGACACTGCAGGACTCTGTACACGTGCTTCACGGGGCCCTACGAGAGCCAGGAATAGGCTTTTAAGAACCATATCAAGGACACAGCAGTTTGCAGCTGGCTCAGTTAGGTTCCTCAAAGGAATAAACAGGGAAGAGGAGTTTCCTTGGATTTTTTTTTTTCCTGACAGCCACCCACCATCCCCCTTTACAAACAGCACTGTAGTTTTCAATAAAAACTTATCTAGGACACGTGCCCAAAAGCAAAGGGGAGAAGGCAGGAAGGGACAGGAAAACCGGATGAAGGGACACAGAGAACCCAGGGGGGAAGGGGAAGGAGGAGAGGGCTAACACAATCGCAGGGATTGCAACCCGTGGCACAGAACAATCTGCATATAAATTTCTGAATGAGAAACTAAATTGTGCTGTAAACTTTCACCTAACGCACAATAAAATTTAAAAAGAAAAAAAAAAAACCTCTAAGGAGAAAAAGAGAGGATCCAAGAATATGGATCCGAGGGTAAAATGATTCTGAACCTCAGAGGGAGGAATTATGGGAGCACCCACGCTGACAAAAGTGCCCGAAGCAGAAACTAGAGTAAAATTACTTTGCCCAGGAAAGCCCAGATTTTTAATTACGTCATTTATGCCTGACACACATGTGCTGACAATGGAGACCATGTTTTGGTTTATTCATTGCAATACCTTATTATGGGAAGAATATACAGAAGGTTCAAATGTCAAGCTATTTTTACCCTCTCCTGATGCTACCTGACTAAAGAAATTTCTCTGAAAGTATTAAATGGAGACCTCCCTTTTATAAGGTCATTTGCTGGTCAGACTCAACTTTTTAGAACATTTAAGTTGGAACTGGAAGCCAAAAGCCTGAGCAACCACAGCGGATGCCCCAAACAAAGCTGTGCCCCTAAAGCGCCTACACTTCATCCCCGGCTCATGGAGGGGCAGGGGCCCAACAAGAGATGAGGGCAAGAATTGCTGCAGGGAGGCACACTCCGCTCGTGGACATGACCCCTCACAGGACAACGCAAGTGTTTAGGAACCAGGGACCATTCAGTGCCGGGTCCACTTCGGTCCCAGAGGGCGGGAGGGATTGGAACACACCAGCGATAGAGGGCCACAACAATGACCCTCGGTCATGGAGAGAGGGCCAGCTTTGTTCACTGAGATGTTAAGAATGTATGAAGGTTTCTTCAAAAATGATAAAAACCAGGCTGGATGAACCCCTGAAACTATTGCCCTGAGATACCTTAATCCAAAAATAGCCCCGATGTCTTCTTAAAACCAAACAATAGTTCAGCTTAACAAGTAAAGAATGTCTGCCTTGAGCATTATGCTTTTTTAAGATCTAGCTATAGGGGATCAAATTGACAACAGTAACTCGAAAGTTTAGACAGGAACCTCAGGGAGCAGTGAGCTGCGTTAATGGGGTAGGAAGAACTCAGAGAAGGAGGGTGAGAATGGTTGCACAACTCAAAGAATGTAATCAATGTCACTAAACTGTACACGTAGAAGCTGCTGCATTGGTAAGTTCTGCTGTATACATTCTCAACAACAACAAAAATTATTTTTCAAACATCTACCCCAAAATAAAAAAGGCCAACCTAGAGGGAAACAGAGAAGAAAGGTGATTTCTGAAGACAACTTCAAACCCGTAAATCTAGGCACGCCTTTGACCCCCGTAAACCTAAGCCAATAAACTCTTTGGCAGAAAAAAAAGAGAAAAACTTAGTTTTAGTACTTTTTCAAAAGGATGAATGGGCTTCAGTTACTTGGGAAATCAGTTCTGGAACAACCCACTACTTGGAAAATACTGGACAGACAAAAGCAGGTGCTGATCACTGAGTGCTTTACACCTTTCTCCAGCCTTCACTGCAGTCCTGGGAGGCAGGTGTGGGCTCCTCCTTCTGCAGGTGAGGACACTGACGTCAGAGAGTGAGGTATTGCCCCACGCTGTCCAGCTAGCAAGTGGACTGGAGGTAGAGCTGGGACTTGAACCCAGGTCTGCCTGATAAGACTGCATTCTTTCGTTTAAGTTTTCTCCTTCTAAATAAGGTACTGTTATTGCTAACTAAAGTACTAAGATTTAACAACAACAACAAAAAATTCCTCCCATATAGAATATAGAACAAATTCCCTAAAGATTCCAGTTGGCTGTACCCACACATTTTGCAAGCAACCAGATATTTTACATTATGGAATTTTAGAGCATCACAAAAGAGCTATGATATTGGCCACAGCTGTCAAAGTCCCAGGTATTTAAGATGCCTATATCATCCCTCTTTTTTTACTCTTCCAAACACACCAAGATTAATCACCTGGCAAAAAATACTATCAGCAGCAGTGACGTAGTTAGAATGGTGGCAGCTACTCAAAGAGATGAGCAGTCACTAAAATAAAGGTGGGCAGGATCCTCAGGTCTTAGGTTTTGCCACGTGTGAGGGACCCTCACAAGTTAACAGCAATAATGTGTTTGAAGGGACAGCCACAGAAACGCACACACAGCCAACTTCATCTTAGGGGCATGAGGGACAAGTGAAAAAGGGGGGCGTCTTTGAACAACATCAAATGCATTTCTCAGAATTTCACTAAATAAAAAGGACATATGGAAAGATCAATTAACATCAAAAAGGTCTTGACATTCCTAGAACAAAAAAAGCTTCCAACTGGGTCTAAATCCACAAGCCTTCAAAATCTGGAGGACTAATTAACTTAATTGCTGCCATCAAAAAGAAATCTTACAATGCTCTCTAGGAATTGGCTAATGGCAAAAAATGGAGACTGTTCAGGTACAATGATTTGAATGGTTTCAAATCAGACAACTCATGGTACCATCAAAATTATACTAAGCCATCAAAAGTTACTTTGGAAAGTGGAGAATTGAAAAATAAGGGTAGGTTTTTGAAATGTCTAAGCTATCAAATATGTAATGGTGAGAGATGCCATATAAATATGAGATGGGAAAGACTGGTGGCACCAGATCACATTTCATATGATAACCTGCAAACCAACTACAAATTCATCTTTGAACATTGTCGGCTAGATGGAAGAGAATGGGAAGAGAACTAAATGAATAAGACCTTCTTTCCACCTTTGCAAATTGCTGGAGAAAAAGTAGATAAAAGAGTTCATTTTTTTTCTTGTTGTTGTTAGGTGCCGTCAAGTCGGTTCCGACTCATAGCGACCTTATGTACGACAGAACGAAACACTGCCTGGTCCTGTGCCAGCCTCACAATTGTTGCTATGATTGAGTCCATTGTGGCAGCCACTGTGTCAATCCACCTTGTTGAGGGTCTTCCTTTTTTTCACTGACCCTCTACTTCACCAAGCATGATGTCCTTCTCCAGGGACAGGTACCTCCTGAGAACATGTCCAAAATATGTGAGATGAAGTCTTGCCATCCCTGTTCCTAAAGAGCATTCTGGCTGTACTTCTTCCAAGACAGATCTGTTTGTTCCTCTGGCAGTCCATGGTATATTCAGTATTTTCTGCCGACACCATGATTTAAAGGCATCAATTCTTCTTCGGTCTTCCTTATTCATTGTCCAGCTTTCACGTGCATATGAAGGCAACTGAAAATACCATGGCTTGGGTCAGACGCACCTTAGTCCTCAAAGTGACATCTTTGCTCTTCAACACTTCAAAGAGGTCTTCTACAGCAGATTTTTTATCATAGGTGTCAGTTATTTATCAAGATAATTCCATTTAGAGCCAGAAAACTTTGATACATGGACTCTAACACAGAAAGAACAAGGCACTATTTTTGGCTTCACACGTTAAAGTTTACTTCTTGCTTATATATAAGACCTTCTGTGGATCCAGTGGCCTTCAGGAGGTAACTCAGAGTTCCAGCCTGTTTCTAACTCCTGGCTTCACCGTAAGATCTCCACGTAACTGTGGCATGGAAAGGGGAGCTGGAAGGCCTTGTAGATTTTTTATTCCTTCAGCCTGGAAGTGACACATGTCACTTCTATGAGCTGTCCACTGGCCAAACTGGTCACAAGGCCCTGCTCAGCTGCAAAGGGGCTGGGGACTGGGGAAGCACATGGGTAAGCTGAGCATTAAGCATCTTTGCCACAGAATCATTTCCTCTTCGAATGTTAAGGTCTTTCTCCATTTTATTCTAGCTTCCAACATTTCTGCTGAGGAGATTAATTCTTGACCCTGTACATGAAAATCTAATCTGTCTCTATGGAAGCTTCTTATCCCTAGCGTTCTAAAATTTTACAACTTTGTGCCCGGAGCATGTCAGTTTTCATACACTATTCTGGACACCTGGTGGACCTAGTAATCTAGAGCTTGATATCCTTCTCTTCTGGGAAATTCGCTTGACTTACGTCATGGGTAGCTTCGTCCCCTCTATTTTTTTTTTCCCCAGTCTATCTGGAACTTCTGTTACTTGGATGTTAAACCTCCAGAACTAGATATCTATATTTTTTATAGATTTTCCTTTTTTTTTTTTTTTTTTTTGTCTTTTTGCTCTATTATATGGAAGACTTCCTCAATTTTGTCTTCCAACCTTTCTGTTGAGCTTTTTGTTCTCATATTTTTAACTTCTAATAGCTCTTTGGTTGTTGTTGTTCTCTGAACATTCTTTATTATACTATTCTTTTGTTTCATACAGGGACTTTACATTTCTTACAAAGGGTTATTCCTAGGTATATTTTATTTTTTTTGTTGTTAAGGCATTATTTTTTATTTTTAAAACAAAACTTATTAACTTCTTCTTAATCGAAGGAAAATTCCATATTGCTCTAGATTAGACCTAAAAAAGCATCCACCACCAATCTCTCATGAGGTAAGAGGCAAGTTATACTACAAGACAGATGGTCACCGTGGAGTACGACTCTGCCCTTTGTAACTGCAACTCTGCAGTTTTTGTTTATTTTTTTTTAAATAAATTTGTTGTTGTTGTTGAGAATATATACAGTGGAACATAACCAATTCAAGTCTCTACATGTACAATTCAGTGATATTAATTACATTCTTCGAGTTGTGCAACCATTCTAACCTTCCATTAACATAAACTCACTGCCCCCTAAGGTTCCTGTCTAATCTTTCAAGTTGCTATTTTCAATTTGATCCCATATAGACAGATCCTAAAAGAGCATAATGCTTAAGGCAGACATTCTTTTTTGGCTGTTGTTGAGCTTTAAGTGAAAGTTTATAATTCAAGTTATTCTCTCATAGAAAAATTTATACACAAATTGTTATGTGACCCTTGTTGCTCTCCCTATACTGTGACAGCACACTCCTCCTTTCCAAGGGCAAACATTCTTTACTAGTTAAGCTAAACAATTGTTTTAAGAAAACATCAGGGGGCATTTTTGGTTGAAGGTTTAAAGATTATTTCAGGGCTATAGTTTCAGGGGTTCCGTGGCTCCAGAAAGTCTGGAGTTCATGAAAATTTGAAGTTCTGTTCTGTATTTTCCCCTTTATGATCAGGATTCTTCTACCAATCTTTGATCAAAATGTTCCATAATGTAGCTGGGCACCATCCAGTTCTTCTGGTCTCACAGTCAAAGAGGCAGCTGTTCACTGAGGCAATCAGCCACACATTCTATATCCTCTTCCTATTCCTGACTCTTCTTCTTCCTCTGTTGCTCCAGGTGAATAGGGACCAACTGTTGTGCTTTGGATAGCTACGTGCAAACTTATAAGACCCCAGGCACTATGCATCAAACTAGGAGGCAGAACAAGGGCACTAAACACGTTAGGCCAGTTAACTGGGTTGTCCCATGAAACCATGGACAGTCGAACATTCTTCAGTTATAGCCAAAATACACAAAAGGGAGTGTTTGTTTTTCCTGCCAGACTTTAAGCTTCTTGAGGGCAAGGATCTTCTCCTTTAGTTATAGGATCCCAAGGGCATAACAAGTTATTGTGGACACATGAATGATGGACAGGAAATGAACTAAGTGTGCACTTTGTCCTAGGGGTGCACAAATTAGGGGGCAAAGTCCAGGTTTAATTTTTGTTACTATATGAAAATCGAGACTTCATAATAGAGATGCTGGATATTTTCTTTCTCAGAAGCAGGATTTACCATCAGCTTCTAAAGTCTCTTATAGGAGCTAGATGTGACCTGGTCACATGTTAAAGGTTCATCCTAGCAAAGAGTGGCCAAAGGCCACGGTGAGATGTTGTTTGGTGTTTATCTCAAGGGAGACAGATGCTCTGTCAGACAGAACAGGGTTTGGACCTAAAGTGCCCGGGGCTCCTCCCACTGCCATATGGTGACCTGCGACAATCTCCCTATTCTTCTAAAGGGACATGGGGCTGGTTTTTTCTTCCCCTTTGTTACTTCGTCCTCTCTATTTCCTCATTCTGAACAATTCTCGAGGTTGGGCCTGCTGTATCTCCCTGAGTGTGCTCTGCGTGCACGACAGACAGTGGTCCACACGGACCTCAAGCTCTGAGGGGCAAGGCTGGGCGCTCCGCAAGCAGTACATTATCCTTTTGAAATCATACCCAGGCATATGGACAGAGAGCCACTTGAGACGTTTTCCCCTTAAAAAATTCAAACCACATTACTTGTGAAGTTCTGTTCTCATTGTCCCGTATCCTTTCCTTAACTAGTCGCACCAGAGAGGCGATGTTGTAAAACTCCGCTTCTTCCAGAACACCTAGAACAAGGGCGGGACTGCAGTTAGAGATGTGCGAGTTCACCAGAGAATCAAGTGTTAACTATGACAAGAGCCTGGCGTTCACATGCTTGGTGAAAATGGTGTTTTTCAGAAGAAAGTCTAGTCTCTCTCCATCATCCTAAAAAACATTTTGTTGCTGTTTAGGGCATACCCATTACCTTTTCACCAACAACAGTGAGGTAAGCACAAAGGCCTGCTCGGTTTACTCCATTTTGCCCCCACCACTTCCTCCCTGCACCTGGTCACTAGCTGCAGGACACCATGCCCATATGTCACTGAGTTCCTGTAGCTAGTCACGTTGGACATCTCCTAAATTTGCAATTTTTACCCAAAGTTTGCCCTAAAAAGACCTGGGGGGAGGGGTGTACATTTATGTGGGCCAAATTTTACAGGACACTTATTATTTGAGCAATATCAAAGGCAAACACTGCAAGAATCCTACTCTAAACAGAATCAAAAGGCCTTAGGACAACTAAATGTGATGTGTGATCATGTACCACGAAAAAAATGACAGAACTGGAAGGTGATCTGTAGATTAAAGTATTTATCAATATTAAGCTTCCTAAATTTGATAACTGTACTGTGATTATGTAAGAGCATATCCCTGTTCTTGGGAAATACCCACTAAAGTATTAAGGGGTGAAGGGACATAACTGCAATCTATTCTCAAACAGCTCAGAAAGAACATCTACGTGGGAGGGGGAGGAGGGGGGACAGAGGGAGAGAAAGAGTGAATAAACACAGATGTGGCCAAAAAAAAAGTTAAAAAATGATGAATCTGGGTGAAAGGAGTTCTTTGTACTATTCTTAACATTTTCTCTAAGTTTGAAATTATTTCAAAATAAAGTGTTTTTTTTTTAAAGGCATTAGAAAAAGATGCTCAAGATTCCTCTTTTCTAGAAATAAGATTGCCATGAGTTGGTAACTGCTGATGCTGGATGATGGGTACAGGGGATTTATTGTACTATCCCCTCTACTTTTTTTTTTAAGTATTTAAAATTTTCCGTAATGAAGTGTGAAAAAAAAAAAAGAAAAAAGGACATTAAAAAAAGAAGATTCCCATTTGCTCCTGGTTGAAACAGCTTTTTTAGAATCACTCCAATAGCTAGCGCCACCATTATGGCTTTCTTACTCAGAGCCGATGCTCCCGGATCATGGTGCCCCTGGCTTAGGGACAGGCCCCAATCTTCAAACAATGCCTCCGGGGAGACCAAGCCAAGCTTTTTAGAATGATATCTAGACCCACTTACAGTCCAAAACGCCCTATAAACCAAAAAGATGAAGCAACCGATGATATACACCTGACAAAGATCTGGAGAATAAATTAGGTCAGGCACAAAAATTTGCAGGGAAGCACGAGACCAGAGTCTTAAAAGAAATGAGGCCAAGCCTTCAATTTTTTATCCCAAGGCTGCAAGTTCAAACTAAAATTGAAAATATAAATAGCTGAATGCCAGAGATGTGTTGCTACAGGCTGTGGACGCTCACTGCTAACACATAAGTAAACGTAAAAAGGAATGATGACAAAAACTCCTGAAGTGCCCTACAAAGCTGAGCTACCTATCTTCCTTCTCATTAAGGAAGCGGAACAGAGACAACGTGGTGTCCTTGGACAAAATGCTCATAGACAAGAACACGTAATAGGAGACTTCCTGCTCACTTCCAACTTTTACTACACCTGTACGTGAGCTCAATGCAAATGTCAAACAAAATGCATCAAAGATTCTACCTGAATGTTGAAAATGCCCGATTCAAATATCGTGCTTACCTTCTTCTGCCAACTCCTTATTAATGATGAGTTTCCCGTGTCGGAGGTAGTTTAGGATAGGACCAAAGTAGGTGGGATCTCTGTCAATCAGATAGGCCCCTGTCTCATCCTGCCAACCAAACACCAAGATATCATTGTGGAGAGTTCAGGAGCTTTTAAACGAAGTTGGAGCGGGCTTTCAGCCTCACTGGCAATGTCCTAAGATAACGATTCACTCCATCAGCTAAAAAATTAGTAAGAGGGCAAGTTTTGGTAGATGTTTGCTTATCACAAGCTATTGACAAGAAGGTTGGATTTCAGAGAGAGTCAGGACCTGGTTGAATGGACACGGGAAATCCAGGGTGGAAAGGAGGGGTGTGCTGTCACAGTATAGCGAGAGCAACTAGGGTTACATAACAATGTGTGTATAAATTTTTGTATGAGAAACTAACTTGAATTGTAAACTTTCACTTAAAGCACAATTAAAAAAAAAACCAAAAACCCAATTGTTATCTGAAAGAAGTAATACTAAAAAAAAAAAAAAAAAAAAAGGCTGGATTTATTTATCTTGTACTTTAAGCTCATTTCAGGCACACACATAGTCATTATCTATGTGTTTACCTACTGGTTTGGATTTCTAAAATTGGATAACAATTATAACATTCTTTTGTAGGCTATTGGTCATAAAGAAAGGCAGTAAGAAAGTGTAATAGCTGTGTGGCTTAAATCTTCACTTGAGGTGGACGTTCTGACTTCTCCATTGCCCCTGAAGCACATTCCTAATTCTAAGAAAACCTGTTTAGTTGGCAATGCTCCTGAGCTCAAGGCCAACATCAGTGAGAGTCTGCCATAGCCAGCTGTAATCTCACACACCCCAGCTCTGTGCCCAGATGAAGCTTGGCACCGCCAGGGCTTTGGCTCAGAACTGAACAGCTTTAATCCTATTCATCTTTACAGTAAAAAAGACCAAGAAGAAACTGTCTTATTCTGCAATGAGGAAGACTTAGGGTAAATAAAATTATTTCTTACAAGCAAGAGTTTTGGAATCTCTTTTAAGTTAAGCCAGAATAGGTTTCCATCAATCTGAGATTTATTAAAGGAGCCGGGCAGAAGAATAGATGAAATCAACAAATGTTTACAGAACCCCAGCTTGATTGCAAGGTGACTGGCTGGTGCTACATGGGACGTACAATGATGGAAGCCACGATCCATGCCTTTAAGTTGGGAACCAAAAGATGAACGTGTAAAAAGTTAAAATTCAAACAACAGTTCAGACTGGAAATGGGTTAAGGGTTTTGTCACCTCTCAACCATTTGGTTAGCAGCCATGCATCCTGCCCAGCAGCATTTTTTTGGTCATCTTTTCCCTCAGTCTTAAGCTGGTCAACCTAGATTTGCGCTGGCAAATAGTAACTTGGAATGTACGTGACCTCGGGTATGGACCTAAAACACTGACTGTTACAAGGTACAAGTTCTGGGGGCCAACAGAAAGAAAAAAGTGTGATGTGAGGAGAAGCACTTCCTGCAGCTGTCAAGTCATCGGCAGCCCGAGGCTTTAATCCAACTTGGCAGAGGGGTCCAAAGAGGAAGTCTGAGAAAGCTACAAAGATGCCTTCGCTCGCCCTGACCCAGTTCTGGGTGCATCTGGCACAGGCAGTGCGGGGCTGAAGGGGAGCCAGGGAAAAACTCATGCAGATCTGAGGGGCTGGGATGAGGGGTGTAGAGAATATGGAGAAGGGGTGTGGAGTGGGTTCTCGTGAGTGCGGGTGGGCCCAGTGTGGGGTAAAGAGTCACTGAGAACAAAGGGCGGGGTCAGAAAGCCGGGGTGCGCCTGAGAATGGGGGACAAATGGGGGTCTTTCTGAGGTCCCCGGGCCTGGGGGACGGGGAGAGAGGGGCCCCAGCTTGAGGGGCCCTCCTGTGAGGAGAGTGTCCTAGGACTCTGGGGACGAGCCTAGAAGGAATGAGGGGGTCCGAAGAACTGGGGGCGCGCCCGAGGGCGGGGCGCACCTTGTCCGAGTCCAGCTCCGGATCCTCTTGGCAGCAGAGACGGCAGAGGAAAGACTTGGGCTCCCGGCCCAGGGTCTGTCTGGTGGTCACGAAGTAGGTGCCGCCCACGTTCAGCCGG